TGTTTATATTTATTATTTTAATAAAACTTACTCAGTGTAGAGCATGTTGCAGTTAGCCACTGGTGCTTCTGAATGCTATGAGATGGGGGTTTCTAGCAGCAGAATTCTTTTGTTTCAGGGAAATTGTTTCATACTGTAAACTTTTCTAATGGTTGACCGGCAAGTTCTTCCCAAAGGCCTGAAGAGGTCTGTCTTGTATGCAGAACATTTACAATGAGCTGTCCTGTTTGCCTGTCTTGTTCTTCAGGCTTACTACTACTGTGCCATTGTAGAAGATGTGATCCTGCGTTTTGCGTGGACCATCCAGATATCCCTCACTTCCATGCAAATCTTTCCGTATGCTGGGGATATCATTTCTACTGTATTTGCCCCACTTGAGGTATTCCGGTAAGGCTTCTTGACTGAACAGTTCATTTCTCTTTTACATTTGTATTATTTGTATAATAACATCAGTGTGGTGGGAAATGCCTTGGACATTTCAATTTCCTTGAAATGGAAGACTAGGTCTAACAGGAATGTTTAATCCAGAAGAGTGAAGAAAACTGTAGGGCTCTGTTGCAGTGTGGGGTGGGTCCTTGTCCTGGGTTCAGCTACAGCAGTCATTTTTTTTTCTCCTTCTTAGTATCTGATGCAGTGCTGTGTTTTTGACTTTCATCCTGGGAACCACACTGCATTTGCAGTTTCTTCTGAACTTAGACCTAACCTTGAAGTTTGATGGGGTTTTTTTGGGGGGTTTTGGTGTTGTCGTGGTTCAAGCCCAGCCAGCAACTTCGAACCACACAGCCACTCGCTCACTCCCCCGCCTCTTCCTTCCTCCCCCCGCTCCCGGAGGGATGGGGAGGAGAATCGGAGGAATGTACCTCCAACGGGTTGAGATAACAGCTCTCCAGTAACTAAGGTATAATACAAACCACTGCTGCTACCAATAATGATGATAAGAGGAATAACAAGGGGAGAGGACACAACCGCTCACCACCTGCCAACCAATACCCAGCCCGACCCGAGCAGCGATCTGGGCCTTCCGGGTAACTCCCCCCAGTTCCTATACTGGGCATGACGTGCTGTGGTATGGAATACCCCTTTGGCCAGTTTGGGTCAGGTGTCCTGTCTCTGCTTCCTCCTGGCTTCCCCTCCTCCCTGGCAGAGCATGAGACTGAGAAAGTCCTTGGTCAGAGTAAACATTACTTAGCAACAACTAAAAACGTCGGTGTTATCAGCGTTGTTCCCAGACTGAAAGTCAAAAACACAGCACTGCACCAGCGACTAAGAAGGAGAAAAAATGACTGCTATAGCTGAACCCAGGACAGGCGTTTTGGGGTTTTTGGGGGTTTTTTTGGGTTGTTTTTTTTTTTTTACTAGATTTCTGCTTAAAATGACCTGGTTGAAATTTCAAGTTGAAATTCACTTGATTCTCAAGTTCACAATTTTAAAATCTCTTCTGCTTTTCCAAACATAAATTTGGATTCTCCATCATTGGTCTGGATCCTGCAAGGTTCCATGGCTTTTTACATACTTGTACTCTAGCTGGAAACCTACCCCCACAGCTTCGTGATAGGAACAAGAAAACTTGAAGCTGAATCTCGTTTACCTAGTTGGTGGAAGTTGTCTTTAGCTTGTAATGACTGGTGCCTCCATGCTGTCCAATCAAGGGCTGTCATCATTAGGACAATGAATGAGCCTGTCAGATCTGCTGTTCTCTAGAGAGTTGGCAAGATGTTGTAGCAGGTGCTACTGTTTTGCTGTACTCCCAGCATGTTCCCAGAAGCACTTTGATCAGTGAAAAGAGTAAGTGGTATCCAGGTGCATGCACCAGTGCTTCACCAAACAAGAGCAATGTAAAACTGGAACCAAATTGGTAATTTTCCCTTTTTCTCCATCCAGGCGGTTTGTGTGGAACTTCTTCCGGCTGGAGAACGAGCACCTGAACAACTGTGGTGAGTTCCGTGCTGTGAGGGACATCTCCGTAGCACCGCTCAACGCTGATGACCTGACACTCTTGGATCAGATGATGGACCAGGAAGATGGTGTACGAAATCGCCGCAAGAACAAACAGTGGAAGCGCAGCCAGAGCGTGTCCTTGCGCAGACCTCGTCTTGCTTCACAGTATGTTTTGCCTCTCCTCCAGTGCAACAAACCAAATCATGTGTTGGAGCTGTTGTTAATGCTTGGAGGCCATTTATGGACTGGATAATCATGTGAAGATCTCAGCCAAAATAGTCATTCAAAGGGAGGACAGGTCCAGTTAGTAAACAATTGTGCTTCTGCCTGAGGGTTGATCCATCCTTTGCATCATCTTGGAGTTCTGGTAAACCACTGGAAAAGGGAGTTAACCTTTAGAAGATTTTCCTTCTGCAAAAATAGCCTGTAGCAGTTGCCAGAGGTTATAAATGCAAACCTAGAAGAGAGGTTCTCTTCAACTGGCCATTTCCAGGCTTCAGACGATCCCAGAATTTCAGTTATCATTAAGGTTTCATATGTGAGATCTGACTCTTTCTCTCAAATCTGAACCCATGTATTTTTTTTCTTTCCACCCGTCATTCTTGCACCCTGAGCTTTTCCCCACCTTGCACCCCAGCCCCTAAACCTGTTGACTGCATACCTTCACTGCAGTGCCTACGCTCAGAGCATCACAGGATGCTCTGGTGTCCAGGTATCATTTCTGCCCCAACAGCATAACTGCGGAGGCCTGCCCTTTAGCCAGAGGGCAAGCTTAGGCTCCCCGGGAATGCTGAGGCAGGGCTTGTCAGGAGTGTTGTGCAATCCCTGCAGTACATCCCCCTGTTGCATCACTGCATGGGTGGGGTGGATGGGAGGAAAAGGAGGCCATGGCTGTCACAGAGTGCCCTGGCCTGAGCCACAGCACTTGGGCCATGCTTGTGTTACGTCCGTGTTGGCTCCGAGTACATGGATGTGACCAGTACCAACCGCTAGAGACTGAAGGAACTTTATGCAGAGGGGATGTGGGCCTGCAGTGACAGTGTTTATGGCTTTCTGTGCGGAGGGGTGGGTGCAATGCTGTAGCAGTCCCGGCCGCCTGTGGGTGCAGCCCAGCAGAGGGCATTGTCTGTGTGCACAAGGCAGCGAGTGGGGTGGTGTGAGCAGTGCCGCGGGAGGACGATGCTGAGGGATGAATGGATGGGGCGTATTTAAGAGACTTCTCCCAGGGAGAGTGGGAGAGTGTGAAACAGTTCCGGTTGTCTGCTTATTCCCTCTCTGTGTAAGAAAGACTACAACAACCCCCCTATCCCCCCACAAGTGCACTGTGGTTTTACTGACTGCATATAGTAATGGGAATTACTTCTTTACAGTGAGTGTTTTCTGTTTTTCTTTTTTTTCCAGATCCAAGGCTTCTGACACTAAGGTATTGATAGAGGACCTAGCAAATGAAGTGAACACATGAGATGGCCATGATCTCTTATTCCTCATCCTTTGTTTTCTCATTCTGTTCCCCTCTTTCCCAAGTAACCCCATCTCTGGTACAGTTCCAACTGAAAACAGGAGAAAACACTGAACATGTTTTCTGAGCTCTTCCAAACCAGATCCTATGGACTCCAACAAGCTCACTGTGTTTCATTTCTTTTCTTCTGGGTTAATTTTAATGTTCTATTTTAAAAAAATAAAATATTTTACTTTGTTTTGCCAATAAAGAGGACAGTTCAGGAAAGAAGGATTGTTTACAGTCTCAACAAGGACATACAAACCTATCTGGATAACAAAGCATCATAGGGACTCCCTCATGGGACAGTGCCGAGAGCACACTCAGTTTCTGCTTGGCCCGGTTTTGACTGGTTGAAACCGGACTTAAGTTCTTAAATCTGATTTTGTTTGTTTGTTTTGGGTTTTTTCCTTCATATCCAGCGCTGAGGCACTGGCTGCACTTGCAGGGAAAGTGCACTTAGAGCAGTATCTTCATTCATGAAGCTACTTTTTAATTTGATGTAACTTTTCTTATAATTTTTTGGAAATATGATGTATGTGTTGCATATAGTTTTCACATTATTTATGAAACTTAACCATATGAGAGTGATTTTGAGTCCTGTGCAATGAAGGTTGTAATGGTAAAACAAAGCTGGGAATATGGATATAGATCTCCAGGGCTGTGGAGTTATGCCCTGCAAATACCCTTCTCGTGAGACAACTTTCACCTGAGTTTTACCTTTTCTCTCTTTCTTTCTTTTCAATTTTATTTTATTTTAAACCAAAGTTTCTCTTTCTGATTTTTTTTTTTTTTAGTTGCTGCTACTGCTTCTGGGCATGTCTTGTGCCAATTCAATGCCAACTTTCCATGCAGCTGTGTGAAAGTAGTGCAGATGATCCTAAGGCCCTTTTGAAAGGAGAGTTGGGTCCTACCAACAATGCAAAAAAGCTAGGTCAACAAAGGCTTCAGAACTTCATTCTCCAGATCAAAAAGTATTTTTCAAAGCCTTAATAATCCTTAAATGGCACAAGGGCATCCCATACTGAGCAGGGGGCTCTTCTGGTGTTCTCCTGCAGCCCAGCACACGAAAAAGGGACAGTGCGAGGAGGTGATGGTGGGCTGGGAGAGCTTAGCAGGCTGGGGTTCAGGAGTGCTGGGGTGTTAGAGAGCTGCTGTGGAGCATGGAAAGGACTGTGTTGTGCCCACCTGGTGGGGAAGGTAAAATTGAAAACAGCTCTCCTTGTGGTTTCTGGTTTGGCAAAAAGCCTCCATTGGGCGCTACTTTTGTATGCTGCCCTGTGGCTTGGCCGTTATTTGTGCCCCTTGTCTTGTCTCACTAGAGCCTCGCTGTCCTTCCCCTGGCACAATGTGCGCTCCCTGCCCTCTTGCAGCAGTACTGGTGGTGGAGCTGGGGCTGAGCCTCACAGCCGGGACTGCTGCTGCTGGGTTGGGTTGGCATGCCTGAGGTCCCCAGAACTGCTGCCCTCCCCTCAGCCTGGCTCGCAGCTAGGACCGCAAGGCAGGGGTGAAACTCTTGAAGTAGGATCCTCACACTGATGTCTGTCTGGTGACTCTAGTCACCCCCGTGTTTGGGCAATGGAATTTTAGGAGTCTCTGCTGAGTTGCTGTTTGGTGGTTTGTTTTTTAATTAGCCAATAGCATGTTTTCTCACACAACTGATACATTGCATTTTTTTCAGTTTGCCTGCTGTGCCTCTTACCCAGAGGAACTGAAGAAGGAAACTTAGCTCTCTTCATTTAATTGGAAATAGGTTATTAGAATTCATTGGTGATGAACCTGTGCCCCACGCCAGGTGAATGGCAACACTGCAAGCCTGTAGCTACTTACACTTCTGTGATGTGCTTTCAGCTTACAGAGAAGCTCTGAGGGGCCTGCCAGGAGATGCCTCTGCTCTGTCAATGGTTGGGTGGTGGTGTAGCTGGTGTCTGTTGTGGTGCTCCTCCTCGCAGCTCCTGCCACGTCGGTCTGCACTGGTGGGAGGGCAGCTGGACTAGCCAGGGTTGTGCTGTTTCTCATTTCTGTGCCCGGGAGCCTGTTTTCCTGTATTTAACTCCCTTAGGTCTTTTGTTCATACTTAAACGGAGGGTTCCTGTTCATATGGAAGTGGAGTCTGAGATATTATTATAATATTTCGGTTTCTTAGTTTGCATTGCAGCAGTTGTTGCCATGTCCAAACCTTGCATAGGTGTTTCCAGCAAGGGTGGTGGGAGAGGAGTGAAGCCGTATGTACCCAGAGGAGTTTTAGAGGAGAGCAGCTGCCCCAGTGGAACAATCCAAAATAAGCCAGTGGCATTACTTAAGCACATGGTTCTTTATAAACAGAAACAGTTTTATTGGCAATTCTTCCTTTCAGAGGGAAGGAAAAATACAGAGAGAGATTTTGAAGTGATGCCAGTCTGCTGGGAGCACTCTGCCTTCCTCAGCTGGGCTGGGAGGAGCAGGCATGGCTGGGTGGCCTGCGTCCTGCCTGCCTGCCTGCTGCTGCTGCACTGTCCCACCGCCTGCTTCCCAACCTGGCAGGAAGGGTCAGGTTGCAAGTAATTAAACTCTTATTCTGTAGCTTACCCAAATCCTTATGGGGTACAAGAATTCTGTATCTCTTCTCTGTTCCCTGCTCTGCTCCTTTCCTTCCCTTTTTGTCTGTCTTTGCTGGCAGGAGAAATCAGAAAGAAAGGGGAGGCGACGTGCTACAACTAGCAAACATTATGTCCTGAAATAAAACATTGTCCCTTTTGGCAGTGAAGATGTTCTCTCAGGGGAGAGTAGCCTGAATTCCCAGAGGCATGGCTTGTAAAGGCTCCCAGCGCCCTGGCGCTGTGTTTGCCTGTTCCCTCCCTCCCAGAGATTTCTGAGAAATCAGGCGTGCAGATGCCTCCTGAGAGTGAGCGCTAAAGCCAGGATGGCTCCATGTCTATGAAAACATCTGGCCAATAAAGGGAGACCTAATGAAGCAGAGCAGATGGTGAGAGAAAATAGTCCCGTCACTCCTTGTGATCGGCCTGTGTGAGGGCGGCAGGGACAGTCCGGGGTGGCTTCGCTTTGTGAGCTGGCTTTGCTAATGGGTGCTTGGAAACACTCCTGGAGGGAGAGCAGCAGGGTAACAATCTAGAATTATGGACAGCACAGTTCAAAGGAGCTGTTTTGGGGGGTTTTGTCCAACACTTTAGTTGCTGGGACATAGCTGGATGGAAATGGGAAGCTGAGCCAGGTCTGTGCTCTGGCCGCCGTGAAGCAGTGCTGGCTTTTGGGTGTTGAGCTCTCCCTCTCCTTGTGGATTCAGTGTAGAGATTGCCAGAGGTAGTGGTTGTGTGTGGCTCCAGCAATGGTGTGGAAGCTGCTTTGGTCTGGCTGAAACCCTTGCAGATGGTCCTGTCTAAAAGGAAGAGATATTACAGTGTGGCTGCTGACTTTTGGAGATTCCCTTTGGACTTAGGTCTCCATGCTCATTCCCTGCTGCTTTCCATCCTTCCTGCTCTTTCAGGGATTTTTGGGTTGCAGGAGGGTAAGATTTTCAGCATCCAGAGTTTATTTGCTAGCTGGAGTTCCCTGCATGGCTTTGGGAGTACATCACTAGAAACACCAGGTCCCCCTGCTTGGGGAAGGCGATGTCGTGTGCTGTGTGCATGCACTCCTGGAGGGGCAGTGGGGCAGGCTTGGGCTTTATGGACCTGACAAGCAGGAGCAGGAGTTGCTCCATCAATGGGAACTCATGCTGTCCCACCACATTATAAAAGAAACACATTTGCAGCATTCATGGCTGCAACCTGTATGATTCAAATAAGCTCCTACCTCTCAAATTCAGGCGCATTCCCAAAGTGAGCCGTTCCTTTCCCAGCCCCGCTCCTCCTGGCCCTCCTTGTTCTGTCTGTGTCTTTGCTTTTAGTCTGAAGCCAGTGACACACAGGGTGTGAAGAGGTGGCTGCCAGCAGCCTTCAGCATGAATATCTTGAGGGAGGGAAAAGTCTCTTGTGGAGCAGAGCTGGATCTTGTTGCTCTTACTTCCCTAATAATAACTTGTGCTGCTTGTTCTGCCTCCTCGATGGTGCTCAGCCATGGCAGCCATGAGGCAGGGAGGGAAAGCACAGTCGTGGCTTAGGAGATAACAATCCCTGGGGATTTTACTGTGGATCTTCCAAGAAGCAAGGGAGATGGTGCAAGGTCTTTGAGTTTTGTCTGTGTTTTAAACAGCTGAGTGAATTTGGCCTCATCCTGAAAGGTTGATGCTGCATACTGCTTGCCATGACTCAGTGTGTACCCCAGGCTTTTGGGGAGGGTTGTGGCCCAGTTGTTGGACCCTGGGATGGGGCATGGCTTGGCTCCCATTGGGAACACAACAGCCACTTTGCTCACACATTACATCCTGGCCCTGTTTCCTCCCTCCTCTCCTCTACTGTTCTGCTTTGCACTCACAGGGGGAAGATGATTGTCTGCCTTAAGCATATTTTTTTTCACTTACACTTTTATTCCAGAAGGTGATCAGATTGCTTTGTCTCCTTGGAAAAGAGGGGCTGGGACTCCTGGGGGAAGAGTGGAAAAATCCCTACAGTAACTCTGCAGCAGTCACAGCTGGGCTCAGTGGCTGTCACCTCATCAAACCTTGCCTCCTTTGCATGACAGCATCCCACCTTGGGATGAGCTGCCAACCTGCCAACCACTGTGGGGTTAAACTGATGTATCAGCATTCCTTGGGGGCCTCAGTCCTTTCTGCACATCCTGGCTGCAAGAGAATTGCAGGTTTTGCAAGGGACGAGAGAAAGGGGATGGTAATATTGGGTGCACCCAGATGCTGATGCTCAAGCCCTTTTCCCAGATGGAGTTGGAGGCTGCTCTGGCCCTGGCACAACCATGCCATGGTGGGCAAGAGGCACCAGCCATGCCTGGGGAGGATGCCCTGTGGCCTGACAGTCCCCCAAGCTCTAGAAACCAAATTGCAAACTTTTTGCTCCAGAGGAGAAATTGGGCAGCCTGGTAGAACTTGTGATGACCTCTCCATCCCGTAGGTCCTCCTGGTGAAGGATCGGCGTTTGGAAGGGGCCTGGGGTGGAAATGCTGAAGTTCCCCCCTGGTCCTGCTGCCGCCTTCCTCTCCCCTTCCCCTCTGTGTTGATCAAAATGATCTTTCTATGAAGCCCTGTAGATGTCAAAAGTAATTATGGAGTGTGATTAGTCCTCTGTGGGTGCTTTCTTTCTTTCCTCCTCCCTTCTCTTTTGCTATCCCCTTCTCCACTC